ATTGTTAAAAGTTTGGTCAAGATGGAAGATCAAGAAATATTTATGAGATTTAATTAAGTCTTCATTATTAGGTTATATGGGAGTTACAATGCTCAATGAAAAATTGATTAAAAAAAAGTTATGAATGATATTACAAGGGGAATTAAGAGTATGAAATTAGTCCGACTACATTAATGTGACTAGAAGTTACAGGGTTTAATAAGGAAATTTTTTAACGGATTACGAGGGATTAAAGGAAAAAACGAAATGTGTAAGAAGAAGACGTCCACAATACATCTAAAATTTATCTTTTTTTTTTTTTTGATCGGAGTCTAAAATTTATCTTTTCCTTATGTTTTGTCTGTTTTACTTTTCTTCTTCATATTATTTTGTATTGCATTTTTTCTTTATCTAAATTATATGAAATTTATCTTTTTTTTTTTTTTTTTGGTTGCATTCCTTAAGTTTTTACGAACTTTTCTTGCCTTCTTTTAGATTATTCTTGTCGATCTGCTTTTTTTTTTCTTTTTTTTTTTTCCCATCCATGCATCCATTTTATGTGAGACTAGCTTGAAGATTTTTTTAAACCGATCGAAAAATTACAAATTCACAGTTTTTCAACGGACGTAAAAATTTAATATTTTTAGAGAATTTTTTTATCCCATTATAAATCACAATAATCAATTTTAGTCTCATTGATTGTAACTATTTTTTTTTTTATTATCTCATGGTAGCTGACACAGATTAAATATGACCGTGTTGGCTTGAATATAGTCGTATTAGATGATTCAAAAAGCTGACTAAGCTGCACAAACAGTCAACACGGCCATGCTCATGACCTCTTGTTTGAACATAGTCATGTTTAAACCCCTGTTCACAATCATATTTTAAACACAACATGTTCATAGTTCTGTTTTGAACATGACTATATTCTAGATCATGTTCATTGCTATATTAAATTATTTGTTTAAATTTTTTAATGTACTCATTCCGTCTTATTCGAATGTACCCCATTGGAGTTTTGTAGTAAATTAAAAATGATATTATTTATTGATTAGTGAAAATATGTAAGATATTTTGCTATTTTTGTCATTTGATTTTATATATAAAGTAATTGTATGTGTAATGATATCTTTATAATGCAATTAAAAATTAATAGTATTTTGGTTTATGTATGATTATTTTTAATAAAATAGGAAAATAGAAATTTTAAGTATGACAAGCGAAAATAGTAAAAAAATATAATTTAAGTTGGGACGAAAGGAGTATATTTATAATTTAACTAAAATATTTTTACAATTAAAAAATATTAAAAAAATAAAAGATTAATATTTTAAAAAATAATTATAAATAACAATAATAAGAAACAACTAATAATATATTTTATAGTCATAATTATATATATATATATTCGAAAAAAATTTAAATTAATTTAATTTTAAAAATACCAAAATATAAATATTATTTTTAAAAAAATATATAGTATTTTAGCTAAAAAAATCTATAATCATCCATTAAATATATAAATTATTTTGTTTTAAAAATATAGTATATATTTATAATTTAAAAAATATATGTAGCAAAAAAAAATGAATGATTTATATTTTAATAGATAATTATAATTTTTTTAATTAAAATATTGTAAAAAATTTAAATAAAATTTTTATATTTTATATTTTTTTATAATCATAAACTATGAATTAAAGTTACTTTACTAAAGTTTTTAAATAATATATAAGTATTATTGTTATTTTGCAACTATTTTTAAAAATATTATAATTTGATGATTTTTTTATATTTTTAAATAATTGTAAAAAATTAATTGAAATACCGTCTTTTCGATCATGCACCCAGAACATGTGTTCTGGGTGTCCAGATTGCAACACGCGTGGTAATTTGGAAAAACTTTTTAAAACAAAAAAATATAATTAAAGAAAATTACATGATTGCAGATTTATTTGATATTTTCTTTTTTTTTCTTGTTTTTTTTTTTTTTTTTGCAAACAAGACTCTTCGATACCACGGTCATTAACGGGAAGAAATTTTTTGGATATTTTATCATTTTTTTTTTTCATAGTTCTTGGGAAAGGATTAGTCACTGGATTTCATTTTCTTCATTGGTAAGAAAAAACAAAAAGAATTGACAAATTGTAGACTTTTCAGATATTCTTGTTTTTATAACTTTTTTAGATTTTTTTTTTTTAATTTCCAACTAAATTTGTCTATTTTTTAATTTTGGGTTCCAAGATAGCATCTTAAAATGGATACCGAAATGGCAGATGATTCACATGCTATTGAGAATGATATTATTATCACAGGTTTGAATAAAAATATATAATGTTAGATATAATATATTTTGTATGTAGTTTTAATATTATTATTATTATTATTATTATTTTAAAAAAAAGGTTCTCAAGATCGAAATAAAGAAGTACTTGAAGCAAATGACAACGTACAAGAAGTTACATCTACACATTCGGGTTCATTATCACATGTAAGTAATGATTCCATAATTGTTGAATTTGAAAAACAATTGGCAAATTATAAGTGATCCTGAAAATGCATACGTAATTTATTGTGAATATGGACATTGTAAGGGTTTAAGTGTCCGAAACGGAAACAAGATATTTTTCATGATAATAGCAAAGAATTATATATGAAAGAATTTGTTTGTTCTTGTAGTGGGATGAAAGATAGAAAATATATTGGTAAAAATAACCGATTTAATTACTGAAAATTAGAAATTCGAACTGGGTGTACTGCGAGACTTAGAATTGGACGTAAAAGAAATGAAGAATGAAGAGTAACTATTTTTAACATTGAGCATAATCATCAATTGGCTTTACCCGATCAAAAATACATTTTAAGAACGGCACGTAGTATTTCTGATGCTAAAGGAAATACATTAATGTCATTAATACGCGCTGGATTTTCAATTTCTAATGTTTATTCTTATTTACAAGAAAATCACTTGGATGGAAAAATATTGGGTTTCTTAAAAAAGATGCATATGATTATGTTAATTGTCTTAGTAAAATTCATAGGCAAGTTGAGAATGGTGATGTTCAAAGTTAATTCGGTATTTTAAACAAAAATCAAATGAAGATAAATTATTTTACTGGGATTTTCAAGTTGATGACGATGGTAGGATGTTTAGTTTTTTCTTTAGAGACGGTCGTTGTAGAATAGATTATGAGACATTTGGTGATGTGCTTTCGATTGATACCACTTATCGAATAAACAAAGATAATTTAATATGTCCACCTTTCGTTGGCATAAAACATCATATGCATAACGTGATGTTTGGATTAGCTTTTAAGTCGGATGAAACTGAATCTTCTTTTCATTCGTTGTTTAGTATATTTTTTACATCCATGAGTGGTAAACAACCTGAAACAATTTTTTCAAATCAATGTCAAACTATGATTAATGCCATTAAGTTTGTTTTTCCGTTATCACATCATCGATTATGCCAATGGCATATTATTCAAAATGCTCCATCTCATTTTGGTGTTTTAAATAATAATTCTAAATTTAAAAATAAAAAATAAAAAATTAGTTTGTCTATATTGCGACACGTGTTGCAATTTGTACACCCGGAGTTCCGGGTGCAGGATCAAACAAGCCCTGAAATACATGTAATAAAAAATTTGTATATAAAAGTAAATACAACCTAAATTGTGTCTGTAACTAATATTTGAACATGATTGTGTACATAATAGGACTTTACACGAATATGAACATAATTGTATTCAGTGAGGGTCTTGAATATGAGCATGAATATGTATGTATTCAAAATATAATTTTGAACACACGTATGAATATGATCATGCTCAAAACATGGTTATAAATATAAACATATTAACGGTGTGTGAAGCTTAATAAGCTTTCTAAATCATATCATACCGTTTTATTTAAGCCAATATGATTATGTTCGGTCCTTATAAATATAATAGGACTAAAATTAATTAATTTTAATTTAAATAAAATCTTAATTGATGAAAAAAATTAATAGAATCAAAATTAATTATTGTAATTTACAATTGAACTAAATTTTTTTTTTCATTATAATTATAATTATATTATTGTTCTTTTTACCTATATGTTTTTATATTACTTTCGTTTTAATTTAAAGTATTTGTTTACTATCCGTTAAAGTCAAAAATATTATTTCATTAATAAATATCATAATCTCCCTAATTTTTATATTTAAAAAAGAAAAAATATAAATACCATGAATAAGAAAAAAATATTAATGTCTATCACAAAACAAATATACTTTATGCTTTGTTTTTTTAATATTTTTTTGATATGAATTTCAATATATATTTTTTACTCTTTTACAAAAATAGCCAACTAACATAAAAATAGTACTTGTTCCATCTCACTTGATTTGTCGAATTATTTTTATTTTCGTCCATTTTACATAATTTATTTATTTTTTTAAAATATAATAATGCACTTTAATCACATTTTAAAATTCATAATTTATAAGTTTTTTTATTTTAATTAAATTATTTAGTTATTTTAATCTTAATTTATAATTATTTTATTAAATTATAATTATTTTTACCAATATATTTTTTAATTATTTACTAGTTGTATCATACCTAAAATTCGGTGTGTAAACTAAATGTAACAAATTAGCTGAAAATGAGAGAGTAACATTATTTTTTACATTACTTAAATAAATTTCATATAACTCACATCAAAATTAAAATACTTAACAAACAAACCCTATCATAATTTATTAATTAATTTCCGTGCGCAAGAGCGGACGTGAGAGAGACATTGCTAGCCAATTTTAGCTATGAATTTTGATTTTATCAATAAAATTTTGAGTTGAAATAATAGTTTAATAAAATATAAATATCTATTGATTTGATATTTTAATATAAAATAAATTTTAATATAATATAATAAAAAAATAGATATTAAATTTAATATTTTTTTAAAAAAATAATAATAAAAATAGTAAAATAAAAAATCGCACTGAACCTTAAATAACCTTCCCCGCCGCCGTCGCTGTGAACTTGAATCCCTCTCCGCCGACTCCATCCCTACTCTCATCAGCTCAGATCTGATCTTTGCTGACTCACTCGAAAGGGAAAGGGAAAGGGTATGATTTCCTTCCCTTCCATACACAGCGCAACCGCCCCCGCCCCCGCCCCCGCCGCCCTCTTCCCCCGCCGCAATTCCCTACATTTGTCGTCGTTCTACCGTCCTCCTCCGCCCTCCACTCGTCGGCACGACCGTCTACTGGTCCGGTCAATCGACGCCGCTCAACCGTACGATCACGAGTCGCGCCTTTTGGACCGCCTCGACCAGTCATCGAAACTCAAAATCGCCATTATAGGGTTCGGAAACTACGGCCAATTCCTAGCGAAGGCGTTCGTCCGCCATGGCCACACGGTCTACGCCCACTCGCGCCGCGATTATCGCACAGTCGCCGAGCCCCTTGGCGTCGCCTTTTTCTCCGACGTCCACGATCTCTGCGAGCAGCACCCTGATGTCATTCTCCTATCCACCTCCATTATCTCAACTGAATCCGTCCTCCGATCGTTACCCCTTCAACGCCTCCGGCGGAACACCCTCTTCGTCGATGTCCTGTCGGTAAAGGAATTCCCCAAGAACATCTTCCTCCAAGTCCTTCCCGACCATTTCGACATTCTCTGCACTCACCCGATGTTCGGCCCTGAGAGTGGTAAAAACAGCTGGGAGAACTTACCGCTTGTTTTCGATAAGGTCAGGATTGGCGAGGAGGATTCCAGGGTAGACAGGGTTAAGAATTTCTTGGATATTTTCGAGAAGGAAGGCTGTGGAATGGTAGAGATGACGTGCGCCGAGCACGACAAGTACGCAGCTGGCTCGCAGTTCATTACCCACACCATGGGCAGGATTCTTGAGAAGTTGCAGCTAGAGACTACTCCCATCAACACTAAGGGGTATGAGACTCTGCTGAAATTGGTGGAGAATACAGCCAGTGATAGTTTCGACTTGTATTACGGGCTTTTTATGTATAACAAGAATGCAATGGAGCAATTGGAGAGGCTTGATTTGGCATTTGAATCCTTGAAGAAGGAGTTGTTCGGACACTTGCACGAAGTGTTGAGGAAGCAGCTTTTTGGGAAGTCGGAGGAGGGTGGCCTTCAAAGGCCAATGCTGGCGAAATTGCCTAAGAATGGAACTCCATTCTTGCCATCTCAATCTGAGGGTTTCGGAAGCAGTTAGGAGGAGGAGGAGGAGGAGGAGCTAGCTCTGCTTGTTAGGTAATCTCGAATCTTTCTTCGACCATGGTGCTCTTACGTTTTATCATAGTTTGTGTGGATGTGGTTAAATTATTTGCTGAGTTGATGAAATAGAATATGAACTCTGCCTTATGTTGACAGTAGCAAAATCTGAGTATAGGCTGAAGGAACACAATATTTATGTTATTTTATGCAGTAGATCGATGAAGTTGGAGTTGATTCAAATATACCTTATGCTGATAGTAGTAAAATCAGAGTATAGGCTGAAGGAACCAAAGATTTGTGCAGTAGGTCGATGAAGTTTAAGTTGGTTCAAATGGTCTAAATATACCTTAGTTGTATATATTGTTTAGAATAATTTGGTGAAGGAATGGATGTTGAGGGGAAGTTGGAAATTTTAAGGCTTGCCTGTTGGGATGACAACTACAGCCTTATGGACGGGTTTAATTTGTTTTCGGGTGGACTATTCATGAAGTGCTTGTTTACATGAATATGGTTAGAATCGTTTCTGTTTTCTTAGTTCAGTAAGAACAAAAAATTAAATAAACGAGTCCTGTAAGAGAGGCCTGTAAGGGATGGCCCGGTAGTGTGGGGAGTGAACTTGTGACCGTAAGGTCGTTGGTTCAAACCCATATGCTTCTAGGTCCACCTGCCACACATGGTTCGCCTAGTGTGACTTGTCTTGTTGAGCCTAATTTGCAGGGTATTAGATTCGGCCGAGGGTTACCCAGTGCGCATTTTCGGATAGTGGCTGCGAGTTCCCAAGTTATAGAAAAAAAAAATTAAATAAACTTACACAATTAAGGGCATTGCTTATTGACCGCAAACATGATCATATACTCCTTTTGTCATTTATCTATCTATTTGTTTGTTTTTTGTACGAAATTAATGACATTTGTGTAATATATTGTAAGTTCTAAGGATATTTTTAATGTTAGTAGAAAGTACAGTTACGGAAATGGATAGTTTGTTATTAGTATTGTGTGATATAAAGGTAATGACATTTGTGTAATATATATTGTAAATTGAAAGAGTTTGTAATGTTAGGTAGATAGTACAATTACTAAAAAAAAAAAAAAAATTGATAGATTGTTACGAGACGGACCAAAATAGAAAAATTGATAGATTGTTAAAGCATGGAGGGAAAGTAGTATTGAAAGTAGAAGTAATTTGATGTTTTTTTTTTTGTAATTTATTTATGTCTCTTTTCACACTATTTAACTTAGGTGTTTGGTCCCATATTTCTTTTGGAGTTTACAAACTTATTCTTTTTTCGTCCCATAACTAAGTATCTGTTTGCTTTTTGCACGTAGTTTTAAAAATATTAGTATTATATTGGGATATAGTAGGAATAAAGTAGTAATGACTAAAATAACTTTAATAGTATTGTATGATATAAAAGTAACGACATTTGTATAATATATTGTAAATTGTAAGGGTATTTGTAATGTTAGGTAGATAATACAGTTATTAAAAAAAATGGATATTTTGTTATAGGACGGACTAAAATGGAAAATTAGATAGTTTGTTTGGGACGGACTAAAACGAAAAATTAGATAGTTTGTTATGGGACGGAAGGAGTATAAAATTTGTAATTTCATACTTGGTAGTTTTTCTCTTTTCTTTGCATAAATTCTGATTCTTTTGTATAGTAATAAGTTACAATTCCATCCTGTTTGCTTATTTTTGTGTTAATTGAGGAAACAAACATGATTTTAAATTGTTTATGAACAACTTAAGAAATGAGCCCCAACACTTTACCAGAAATGAATATGAATGCAAACACGATTTGTTAGCAATTCATTTCTATCATGTTCTTTTAAACATTCATTGATACCCCTAATTTTCTTATTTGATTACTCATCTAGCATTGTTGGCCTTGTGAATATTTGTCTTTAACTAGCTGATTTTTTAGAGCATCTCCAACCACGTATTTATGGCGTTCACCATTTTTGCCGCCACGCTGCCCAAATCTAGAAATCTAGAGCCATTTCAAGCTCCAATTTTGGAGTTTGCTAAGTGCAACACCGTAAGCCATTTATTTTATTTTATTTTATTTTTTATTTTTTTAATTTTTAAAATAATAAATCTAATTTTTATTTTTTAAAATTTTATTTTAAATGATAAAAATAAAAAGTTGTTTAAAATAATAGGAAAAATTGAATATTTGAAGAATAATAGTGAAAAATAGAGTTATGGTTGAAGTAAAATAACTATATATTTGGAGTTAAAACCGGATAAATAGAGATGATGGATTGGAGATGGCTTAGGGTGTTTTACTATATAAGTTTTTCACGTACTTTTACTATTTCTCACCTTTTTATTATATATATATTTTTCTCTCTTTAAAAATATTAAATAAATGTTCATTTATATTTAAATATTATATTAAAAATTAACTTCTTATTATTTCCGACACCAAAGCATATCCAAACTCTCCCTTTTCACTGAGGATGTCAAATGGGACGGGCTAGCCCCGGACTTGCCTTGACCCATTCTTAATGGGACGGATTTGGGTTTAAAAAATTTGGTTCGAGGGGTGGGTTACGAATTTTACTAGATTATAATTTATTTATATTTTTATACAATATAAATTATATTATTTATTTAAAAAATTTTAAACATAAAATAGAACTTTAATTTTAAACTAAAATTTTATTCGCATTTGTTTATCCTACGATTTTCTTTATAATTGAGACTGGCTCACTGTCATCATTGCGGACTATTGTCAATATTTGATTATTTTTATTTTTAGAACTATAATTTTTGGTACTTCCGCATATCTTTTTTAGTATTAAATTATTTTTTAAAAAATTAATTTATTCTTTTATTAAAAAAAAAACAGGTTTGTCGGGTTTGGGGCGGGATAGGTTATGGGGCCAGGTTGATGCAGGACGGCGCGGGTCTTGGATTATAATATTTTCTAGCGGACGGGTCTCAGGCCCTGCAAAACTCGTCTCGAACCCGCCCCATTGACATCTCTATTTTTGACTGTATCGAAAGAGAGAGCATACACTATAGTCTATGCTTTGTTCTCCATGATTTTTTGTTTTAAGGAAAAGGTGTTTTCATTTCGAAAACGTTTGGGTTTTGTGTGTTTTGGATGAAACAACAAGAAAACAAAGAGTGAATATATATATATATATATACACACTGGTGCTCTATTAGGAATAGAAATAAGAACAGTGTGTTCTCCAATTTCCCTTAATCAAATGGGTAATTTATCGATATTTTATTTTTTCTATAATCCCCAATAGTTTTTAAAGTATGAATTTAAATATTTTACTAAGCAATTTTAAATTTAAAAATAAAATTAAAGACAATAAATTAAAATTAAAGCCAAAAAATTAGAATTTGAAATTTGAATTACAAAAAAATTTGAGATAGGTCGTTCTTGAATAAAATTAAAATTAAAATTAAAATATTAAGAAATATAAAAATAATAAATTTAAACCATTGATTCAAACATAAACCTACACTTGTTAAATCGAAATAGTTGAGATCGAAAATGACAAATACAATATAAAATTTTAACTTAAAAAAATGAAGTTTAATTTAACGTTTTGACAAATTAAAATTGGCGGTTTCAAACCTTAATAGGCGCATTGGACCTTTTTGAAAAAATCTACTTTACCCCTTGTGCTTAAATAAGCTAAAACTCTCGTGTCTAAGGTGTTTCTATTTATTTATTCAGTACAATATATTTAACCAATGTGTTTCTATTAAATTTTTTATTTTAATTTGAAATATTATATTTAAAATTGAATTTATTAAACAAGTTATGCATGTGTACAATCAATCATACAATATAATTAATTCAGGACTTGGATTAGATACTGATATGTTAATATTCAACCTATGCTGATACTTACCCTTCACTTCCACTGACCTCCATATCTACCTCACCCCCACCCCGCCTCAAACCTTACTGCCCTCCACCGCCTTTTTCTTCTTCAAAATTGGTCTCCCGATGCAGAAGATACGCACGTGGCACACCGGAGCAACATGTGTCCGCCAGGTAGATATCACCTAACAAATACATAAATTTTTTTTATTATTTTATTAATTGTTAAATTTGGACAATACCAAAATAAAAAATTGAAAAAAAATAATTTCACGTGTCTCCAAAGTGGCGCCTATCCTGCGGACATGTGTGCTCCGGTGTGCCACGCGTTCATTAACAAACCTTTATTTTTGTATAGAAAATGTTAATTTCCCTTATTTTAAGTAATGAACGCATGGCATACCGCTACACACGAGTCCGCCAAGTAGACGGCACTTAGTGGACATGTGGACTCGGTTGTTTTTTGCGGTTAAGGGGAAACAGTGGCCGATTTGGTGCGGCAACGGGAGTGTTAATTGGATCAGCTAGAATGACATCCTATTGAGTAGGCTTGGGGACCGGTTCGGTAGGCATGTTGGTAGGTTGCTCTGTTGTTGGTACAACAGTTTGAGTAGATTGTCCGAAAAATAATGCCTTAGCATCCAAGTTCAGCCCGAGAGCGGTCGGTTCAGATTGAGGATCAGCAGCACCTATAACAAAAACATAATTAGACTTGTACAAATTTTGACTTTTAAGGCGGCAAGAAAATGAGATGTACCAGTTGAGGGAGTTCGGAACAAGTGGTGCATCTCAGAACCAAATTTAGGTCCACCAGGATGGAGGCTAGATATTTCTCTCTTTCTTGCTTGTTGGTCGGGGAGACATTGGACGGAAAAGATTTGGGAATTGTCTTCTGTCTTTTTGGGGCACTTGAGCTTGTCCCGCATTCTTTCATGGACTTGCATTTTGAAGAAGGTGCTAGTGGATCAGCAGGTACTTTACCAGGAACAATGACTAAAGTGGGGAATAAAGTCCCCATACATTCGGCGATAGGGTGCCCAACTACCGCCCAAGTGAGTTCCCACCATTCTCGGAAGTCTTCGACAGTCTCTGAGACTAGTATGAAGGGGGTGTAGGAGTTGGACGTGATGTAAACGAAGAGCTGGTCGATGTAGGGATTTATTTGGTCTAATCGGGCCAAGCCGTGAAGGGTTATTGAGATAAAGTTTAGAGAAGAGACAGGTGTTACGGGTTAACTTCACTTCCTTGAAGTAATCGTGTGCTCTTTAGCAACTTCCCCGTCGGCTACTAAGACAGACTTCCAAGCTCGTCCAAGCATCACAAAAACCAGATGCTTTCTTGAGAGAAAAACTACTAGAGAGAGAATGTGTGAAGAGAAATGTTTTGATTGCCAAAACTTGGATAATACAAATGATAGTGGTGCATGTCCTTTTATAGGCCAAGGACTCCAAGAGACAACCCTAGATGATTTTATAGTGTACAACCTTCAAAGCCAAAAGTACAACAATCTAGAATGTTCTACCAACTACCTAGCTGAACCCAAAGGTCTCACCAAGTTCTACCATCTTCCGGAAGGATTCCGGAACATTCTGGGTCTAGCACATTCTAGTGAGTTTGAATGAAGTGTTTTGTATAATAAAAAGTACTAAGCATAGAAAAACCACCGCATCGCGACCGCTTGAAAGTCCGACCGTGACAACTCTCCCCCACAAAAGCCTTGACCTCCTCGTCAAGCACTCGCTCGGTACGCCTCAATGTGGTTCTTGAATTGCCATAGGTCTTGCTCTTTCACCCATGTCGTCTCGCTATCCGGCTCACCTTTCCACCAGATTAAGTACTCGGTCCAACGGGGTGTTCCTCGTTTGCCCATCACACGATCTGCCAATATCTTCGCAACATCCTTCTCGTAGGACATCGTTGTAGTCGATGGAGCGCGGTGTGACTCGTTCCGGGATGGGTCCTCCTCGTCTTTGTGGTACAGCTTCAACAAGCTCAAATGGAAGACCGGGTGTATCTTGAAGTCGTCGGGTAGGTTGAGTCGCTAGGATCGAGTGCCGACCTTCACCATCTCGAACGGTCCCTCGTACCTCCGTGTCAAGCCTTTGGCACTTGACGGATCGCCTTCACATTTCTCCCCAACATTCGGACCAATACTTGGTCCCCGACCTTGAACTCCCGTGGACGATGTTTGTCATCCGCCCACTTCTTCATTCGTTTGGCGGCCTTCGCCATGTACGCCCTTGCTATGTTGTGCTCCTCATATAATCCTTTAGTAAGTTTGTACGCCACCGGACTCGCACTATCGTATCCCCATGCCAACTCTTGAGGCGTCATCGGTTGTTGCCCCGTCACTAACTCAAAAGGACCTCGATTAGTAGACTCGCTACGCTGCAAGTTATACGAGAATTGTGCAACATCAAGTAAATGAGCCCAATCAGTTTGGTTGGAACTTACAAAGTGTCAGAGGTAGATCTCCAACAAATGGTTCATCCGCTCGGTTTGGCCGTCGGTTTGCGGGTGAAAGCTCGTCGAGAAGCGGAGGCTCGACCCCAAAAGCTTGAAAAGCTCTCTCCAAAACTTCTCGATGAAACGCAGGTGATGGTGACAAACTTTGGCACTCCTCAATACTTGATCACGTGCTTCTAGAATAGTCGAGTGGCTTCCTCAGCTTTGGAATCCTTCGTTGCTGGTATGAACGTCCCATACTTGGAAAACCTATCGATCACCGCCATGATTGATCCACACCCGTTTGACCTTTGCAACGCCGAGATGAAGTCCATCATCACACTATCCCATGGCTGCTCGGTAATTGGCAATGGCTCCAAAAGTCCCTCCGGTTTGGCTTTTTGTGGCAAACCAAGCACGTCCGCACGTAGACATTGATGTTGTCTTGCATGTTAGTCCAATAAAATGATTGCTCGACCAATGCCTTAATACGGTGAATTAGGTGTCCCGCCCATTTGGAGTCGTGGCACTCTCTAAGGATATCCCGCCGAAGTTTGTCCCACTGCGGCACGTATAATCGATCCCCGACCGTAAAGAGTATGTCATTCTCTTCCCAAAACTTCCTCATTTGACCTTCTTAGCCATCTCCATCAAGTTCGTGGCTAAGGAATCCTTGGCTAATCCCTCATTGATCCAATTGGCATGGTCTCCTTGCACTTGAGTGATCGATGCAAAGAAGGCCTTCCGACTAAGTGCATCCGCCATGACATTGGCGTTGCCCGGTTTGTACACCAACGTGTAGTCGAACTCTACCAACAAGTCTTGGCACTGTGCTTGCTTCGGGGTAATCTTCTTTTGATTTTGAAAGTAACTCGTCGCTGCGTTATCCGTCTTGATCACAAAGTGACTCCCGAGCAAGTAGTGCCTTCACGTCCAAAGACAATGGATGATCGCAACATCTCCTTGTCATGGACTGGGTACCTCTGTTCCATGTCATTGAGTTTCCGAGACTCATATGCCACGGGATGCCCATCTTGCATCAACACCCATCCGATAGCATAGTCTGAGGCATCTGTGTGAAGCTCGAACGGCTTCGAGTAATCCGGGAGGCTAAATACCGGGTCCTCCACGATCGCCGCCTTCAAGTTCTCGAAAGATGCTTGGCACTTGTCGCTCCACTCCCAAGAAACTTTATTCTTCAACGAATTCTTCAACGGCGTCGCCTTCGCCGAGTATCCCGCAATGAATCGACAATAGTAGTTCACCAACCCAAGGAACGACCGAAGCTTGAAAACATTTTTAGGGGTTCCCACTCGACGATCGCCCACACTTTCTTCGTGTTCATTAGGATTTCGCCTTGCTTCACCTTGTGCCCAAGGAACATCACCTCCGTTTGGGCAAACGAACACTTCTCCAACTTCACGTGTAGCTCGCTCTCCCGCAAGGCTTGGAACACCAACCGCAAGTGCTCGGCATGCTCGTTCAAGGACTCGCTATAGATAACTATGTCATCCAAATACACCACAACAAACTTATCCAAGAACGGGTGAAATATCTTATTCATTAAGGTGCAAAATGTAGCGGGTGCATTAGTTAGGGCAAAGGGCATAACCAAAAACTCAAATAAGCCGTACCTCGTCATGTAAGTCATCTTCGGCTCGTCACCTTCTGCAATTTGGACTTGCCAATATCCGGATCGCAAGTCCAATTAAATTTAAATTGGCAACACATTCTCATAGAGATAATATCTCAATATACATAATTACTACATGTTCCCAAAAATATATTACCAATATCACAATAATGGCAATACATTTTCAAAAGAATATATTTTCAAGATTGTAATTAATGG